GGCTGATACTGCAGCGAGTAACTCACCTTCTGACTCCCCAAAGTCAGACCATCATCTACAAGGCACAAGACAGGAATGTGATGGAATACTCCCCACTTGCCTGGATGGGTGCAGCTCCAACAATACTCAAGAAGCCTAACACCATCCAAGACAAAGCAGCTTGCTTGATTAGCACTACATCCACAAGCATCCACTCCCTCATCCACCCATGCTCAGTGGCAGCAGTGTGTACTATCTGCAAGATACACTTGGAAATATATCACTGTTCATTCACTGTCACTGGGTCAAAATCCTGGAATTCCCTCCCTAATGGCATTGTGGGTCAACCCACAGCAGGTGGACTGCAGCAGTTCAAAAAGGCTCTCAAGGGCAATTAGAGACATGCAATAATTGCTGGTCAGCCACATCCAACAAATGAATTTTTTTAAAAAATGAGGTGTATTCAGGTGTTCAGGGGAATTGGAGACGAGGGATATTATAACAGTTAAATCCTTCTAACATTAGTTTAAGGTAAGGAGTGAGTGGTTTAGAGGAGATCAGAGGAAAACTTTTTACCCAGAGGTGGTAGCTATATGGAACATGCTGCCTGAGAGGATAGTGCAAGCTAGTGCTCTTGCAACATTTAAGGACTGTCTGGATGAGCATTTAAAATATCAGGGCACAGTAGGCAATGGATGAAGTGCAGGGATTAATGTAGTCCGGTGTTTGTTGGTGGGCATGGACACGGTGGGCCTGTTTCCATGCTGCATTACTCTAGTTCAAAGGTAAAGATGTCAGCAATTCAGTCAGAACACTCCAAAGTCTCTAACTCTCTATTGCAGACATTTTCAGAAGGTCCTGGACACATCAGAAGTTTAAACTTCCCAGGCACTACTCTCATGGTCAATGTGTTGAGATTTCCAAGGAGTTCTGGTGCATATCTTCTGGACAACATTCAGACTCTGAGAACCAGAAGTTCTGGGCCTATTTGATTCACTATGCACACATAGGATTACAGCCAGAACTCTAAAAGGAATCAGAATTCAACAGTTTGCTCTAGCAGCAGAGACACAACAAGTAGGACCTTATCATGATTGATGTTAAAACTGCAAAGAACAGAGATTAACCAGTGATAAATCTACTTCACCAGGGCCAATTTCAGCAGGTTGCTAAGGAAAATAGCCAAAACATATTGGAAAGAAAACATAAACATAAAACACGGAGGACGTTGCTTCGATGTTAAAGGAACAAAAGATGACATTTACAAATGGCAAAGAAACAGAAAATACACTGATCAATAACTTATAGATAAACATATCATAAATCAATGAACAACATGTAAAATCAATTACTTACAATCGAAATAAAGTGATTTACATATGTATTACGGAGTTATCAATGTGACTGCCATTTGTAATACATATTCACAACAATGTAAATTGTACAGCAAAATTCATTTAAGCATGAGAGATAATACTTAGATCTCACAAACAGTCTGACATATGAAAATGTATTAATATGGTGATGAACCCTTTTATCTTCCCGCCTGGCATCCAGCAGCTGTGAGGACCACGTTCTGCCTCCTGTCTTTTAGCTGCTTGCTCATTTCCCTCTGAAGAGAGACTTGACATTGGACTCCAGGTGCAACAATGATCCCACTCGGTTAACAGGTGGCTAAAAAGTCTTTTTGTAAAGTATTTTCACATGTAGTGATGTAACTTATATTTAAAAAATATTTAGAGATTATGAATGACTTTTAATGTATATTGTCTCATTTTTCAACAAATTGGCAAATTATGATTTTTATACTGAATCTCTTTTTTTAAAATGTTTCTGTCACAATTTATGACATGATGGATAGGCATTCTTGGCGGAATGTTGTAGTTTCAAGCCCACGTCAGGGATCAGTCTCCAGTGCAGAACAGCAGACGTGCTACTTTGTAGGAAATCATTCTGACTCTATAATTGCCATATTTACAGATAGAATGTTAACTGAGGCCTTTGTTTGATCTCGTTAGCAATTCCATGGAGTTCTGTCTGTTGTCCTAGCTGACAGTTTGAAAGAGGGAGCAATCAATTTGAGGCAATTGAGATTGTGGCCAATGTGCAAGTATTGAGGTAAAAGTACAAAGCAACCAGAATTATTAGAACTGGTTTAAAAAGTATGAGGTGTTAATTGCTTTTTATTTGCCTGTGGAATGAAATGTGAGCTTTCCAGGCAAGGTGAGCATTTGGTGCCCATCCCTAATTTAGTTCGATAACAGTCAAGTGTCAACCACATTGTTGTAGTTCTGGAGCCACATGTTGACCCGACCAAATGGGAATAACAAGCCTCCTTCCTTAAGGGATGTTAATGAACTAGATAAATTTTATGAGAATCAGTGACAGTTACACGGTTGCAATTACTGAGGTTAGCTTTCAATTTTTAAAAAATTTAACTTCCAATAGCTGCATGATGGGACTTGTGTCACCAGAATACTAGTCTGGGCCTCTAGGTAACTAGCTGAGTGATAATATCACTAATCATCCGTCCCATTTTAAATCTCAAGTACTTTTAATATTTGGTAGGCTTATTTCTGATTAACTTATTTGGCAGACTTACAAAAGGTATGGCAGAGCACCTCAGTCCTATAAAATATACAGGCTGTGCCCAACGGGAACTCCAGGTTACAGCTATGGCCTGGGCAACTATGTGTGTAGGAAATGCAATCAGTTAGAGGAGACCTGATCTCCTCGAGCTTGAGCAGCAACAGAAACCATTTTGGTATATCTGTGAGGTTCACAACCATGTCGATGGCATGTTCAGGGACGTGGTCACCCCATACTGCAGAAATGTATAGGCAGAGAGTAAAGTGAACTGGGTATGAAGTTCAAGAATGCTAAAAGCATCTCACTCTCCATTCGGTTTATATCAATACCAATGACATAGGTAGACAAAAGAATGAGGTTCTGCGGAACAGTTGAGGAAACAGGAAAGGAATTAACAGAATTAAAGGATTTCAAATGGATTGATCCCAGTATAGTACTTAATAACTGTAAAAATGGGAGGATAGAAAAATAAATGCATTACTCAGAGATTGTGCAAGCATTAAAGTTTTATATTCCCAGGCCAGCAGCACCAATTCTAGAAACAATTATTCAGGATAGAATAAATAGTCACATGGAAAATCGTGGGCCAATTTGGAAAAGTCGGCATGGATTTGTTTAAGAAAAAATTGCATCTAACTTGCTGGAGTTTTTTTGAAGCGGTAACAGGGGGTTGATGAGGACAAGGATGTTGATGTGAAGTACATGAACTTTCAAAAGGTGTTTAATGCAGTTCTACACAACAGACTTGGAGGAAAGTTACAGATCATAGAATAAAAGGGACAGTAGCAATATACACACAAAACTGGCTGAGGAATAGGAAACACAAATGAATGGTTAATGTTTATTTTTCAGGCACAAAGAGGGCTCGTAGCCCACTGTCCCAGATATGGGTATTGGGACCCCTAGTGTTTCCTGATATATAAATCACCTCGATTTTGGAATGCAGGGAACTTTGAAAGTTTGCAGACAATACAAAACTTGGGGCAATTGTAAACTGCAAGGAGTATAGTGTAGGACTTGGCGGAGTGTGTGCATAGGTGGCAGATGAAGTTCAATGCAGATAAGTAAGACATCTTGGTATAAAGAACATGGAGAAATGGTACAAAACAAAGGGCACAATTTTCATGTACATGTTTCATTAAAGGTGATAGGACAGGTAGAGAGTCAAAGTTGAAAAGTTGAAAAACTGAGAAACTTTTCACACTGAATGACTGAAGGCTAGAATGCCCTGCCTGGCAGTGTAGTGGAGGTAGGTTTAACTGGGGCATTCAAGAGGGCATTAGTAATTATTTAAATAGAAATAATGTGCAGGGTAACTGTGAAAAGACAGTAGAGTGGCTCAAATTAAACTGGTCAGGCAGCCAGTTCAAACGGGACGGGCTGAATGACCTTAACCTGCATGAAAACAATTCAGTGAAAACAGTGATTCAGCCTTAATAATGTTCTGGGGACCAAATTTAAGGAAGGATGCAAAGACTTTCAGTGCAGAAAACATTTACAAGAATGGATTTCGGGATGAGAAACTTCAGTTGGTGATGCCTGGGCTATTCTTGAAGGTTGAGATGAGATTTGATAGAGCTATTGAAAATCATGAGCGTTCGAGGCATGGTAAATATAGAGAAACCAAAGCGTGGAGCTGAAGGAACACAGCAGGCCAGGCAGTATCAGAAGAACAGGAAAGCTGACGTTCCGGGTTGGGACTCATCTTCAGAAAATAAATACAGAGAACCTATTTCAATTGGTGAAAGTGTCCAGAAGACACAGATTTAAAGTGAATGACAAGTGAAGGCAAAGTGAGGAAAGGCATAGTTACCACTCACAATTAAAGAGTCGTGAAGGCAGATGTATAAACACAATAAAATAAATCAGGGGTCGGAGAACAGGACTAGGGTTAGCCGAATTGCTCTTGTGCAGACAAATGGACTCAACGGGCAAAACGACTTCTTGTGTTGCGACCATTTTATGGTTTTATAGTTTTTAACTCTCTCAACCAAAAGATCACAAAGTCATCTTATCATTATCGTACCGAAGTCTTCCTACGTGCAAATTAGCTGTCTGTTGAAATACACATCAAAGTGATTGATTGACTGCATATCGGTTTGTGAGGACGTGAAAGGCGTTATATGAAGGTCAAACACTTTATGTTCTTTTCTTTGGATTTATTTAACAGCGAACTCTGTTTCCTATGGGTTACGCTCCTCGTGATTGAGTGACTGTTTCTCACTGCCTGTCCTCGGGTTTGTGTTCGACAGAGCTGTTGTTCTCACTCCCATCTCCCTCTTTCTCTCTCTCTCTCTCACACACACACACATACATGGAGGGTTTTCCTTGTGAAATATTCGACAATCAGCACCTCTTTTGTCCCTCTCTCCCCACCCAAGTCTCCATCCAGTGTGTGCTGCACCCCAGTCCTGCCATTGAATGTTGCCTACCTGTTCCACCGTGTACGCTGCTCCACAGCGGTGACTCGCCAGTGTCTTTGGAGCTTTTCTTGGAGGACCCCTTGCGTTTGTCGGTTTGGCGGGATTTGGCTAAGCCTGGGTTATACTTGAGCACAGCCACGCTGGTCCGCTTCAGCCCTTCTTGCCTCTTGTGTTTGACCGGGTTTATCTTCGACGCTGGCTTCACTTGCCTCACCTCACGCACGGGGCCCCCGGGCAGGACTAATTCCCCGATGGACCTGGTCTTGCAGGATTTGCTGCGCTCTGTCCCTCTGTCGCCTTTGGCCACATCGTTCGGCATCAGGGTGCGGAAAAGGCTACACGGCTCAGTCCCGCGGTCACTGCAGCCGCGGCCGCCCTCGCCCTGTTCTGGGAGAGCGCGCGCAACAGTTACCAAGCAACCTGGTAGCGCCTAGCGTTGCCTGGATACCCTGGTTACTTTGTCACCGCTCACCGCGAGGCGGCAGCTCCTCAGTCGCTACAGTCCCCTAAATGTTCACTTCATCCTTCCTGAACTTGAGGAAACACAGAGGTAAAAAGAAATACGTGATTTTAACACGGAAGACTCCGAAACAGAGGCGTGTGTTTTTAAACGTTTAATTATTTCCATGTCAGTGCAGCGCCTGTTTCACTGGAATCGATTTTGTTTTAACAAAATACGACGCCTTCATCGCTTGAATAATCCCCTCGGGAATGGAGGTCCTGTGGCGCAGTGGGTCACATCCCTGCCTATGGGTTCAGGCCTCCCAAACCCCAGATTTGACGACAATGAAAGTGCAGCCACAGTGGGGTCAAAGAGGTTTAAGTATCAACTTGTAAATTCTTTCAACTTTTTAAAAATTTAATTCCGGGGATGTGGCCGTCGCAGGTGTGGCCAGTATTTATTGCCCAGAAGAGTCAATCACGTCAGGTCTCGAGCCAAACGCAGATGCGACCTGTTAAAGATGGCATATTTCCTTCCCTGAAGGGCAATAGTGAACATCGAGACCTTAATGGTCACTGATGTCACAAGCCGTCCCTGCAGATGGCCATTCTTTACACAACTTTCACGTGGCCAGTTTTCAGCAAAGTATGAAAGGAAATGCTTTCATCCTGCACTTTGATCAAAACGTAAAGTCTTGAAAACCTTGCTTTATCTTCTACCCATGTTTTTTGTTTTGCAATTAGATCTTCTTAGAATTGGTCTGATTATTCTAGTAAATCCCACCAGGAACAATGGTAATGTTTGGGCACTGTGGAGAAAGGAGACATGCTATTTGTTGGAAAAGCTGCATTGATGGATCCAGTCAGCTCAGCAGTCAAGTCTCATTCTTCACATTATGCTCAAGGCTTTTCCTATGAAACTGTAAATATTCTTCACTTTCAGATTCCAGCAGTCAATTCCATCATTGGCATTGCAATATTCTGCCAACATGATCTGAATACTGCAGGAAATTGGTATTCTGAGGTCCTTTGCTCACATCCCTTCCAGTTCTTCCCAAGTTTTATTAGTTGTGCAAGTCATATCGACTGGGTTTGGTCATCTGACAAAAGATTGCTAACTAAATTCCCTCTGGTCTCAAAAATAAGATTATCCACCATGTTTGAAGTGATAGATTGGGCTTGACTCCATCAAATGTTAACTAGTTATCCTTATTAAAAGAAATGTTTAATTTATGTTTCATCATGTGACCTCTTCAAGCACTGCATGTACAATTAGTGATGTATATGGACAAATGTAACACATATTTTGCACACAAGGGCCCACTAAAAGCAAATTCAAATTTGCTGGTTAAACCTGTTTTAGTCATCCTGGATGGGCATCACTTTCATCCTTACTGCTTTGAAATGTCTTCAAGAGCCTCCAGAATTAGCAGATACCTTGGTTTAACATCTCATCTAAAGGATGTCACATCTGATATTGCAGGACATACTGCCAAACAGTAGTGTCAGTCTGGATTATGGGATGACAGTAGTCTTGCAAGCAGTCCTCTTGGTAGGATGGATGTGGCATCACTGCACACAGGTGAGAAAGTGTAATGGTTCTTGAAACAGTGATAAGTGATATTAAAGTTTAACTTTCTGTCCCAATCTAGCACATAGCTTCCATTTTAAGACAGAGTCTATATAAGTTACGAATAATGTAACGTGCATTAATATTAATATAGTACAACTGGCCATAATTGTACTGCAATTAAGACCAGTCCAGAAACAAACACAGGATCTTCAGCAACATGTATAATAGTTATCCACAATGGCCTAGACAGCATGATGCAACTGTACAAAAAGCAGATATGGTTCAAAAGGAGTAAATTAGTCACTTGTCCAGATAGTAAGGTGTTGATTTGTTGTTCCTATATTTGATGATTAAAAAAAGACAAGAAGTTGATCTCCTCCATAGAAGTATGATCTTGCCTTTCAGTATTTAAATCTTAAAATCTAACTGGAGTGGTCTTCACAAATGAAAATGTTTCTGAATATACTAGAAAGCTTTGACAAAGAGCAATCAAATCAGTCAGATCTCCTTTAGAACTTGGTGTCATGAACCATCATTTTCTTGATATGAACATTTTTAAATGTTTACATTTTCATTAATTTCTAAGATGATTAAAGCTTGAGAAGAAGAAAGCCAGGTTAATTCTTACATAGATAGTAGGAACTGCAGATGCTGGAGAATC